CATCGGACTGCTTTGACGGCCAGCATGCTTCTTTTTCTTGTTTCTTGTTCTCCTTCTTCTTCTTCTTCTTCTTTTTTTCTCTCTTCATCTCCTTCTTAGGCTAAGGAGAGGAGGAGGAGAAGGAGGAGGAGGAGGAGGAGGAGGAGGAGGAGGGCAGAGGAGGAGGAGGAGCAGGAGCTTTCGGCGGGCTCTTCCCTGGACGGCCTCTGTGGCCAGGAGATCGAGACAGTCGCGGGCGCGGGACTTCTCCTGAGGATCGGCCCGGAGAAGGCGCGGCGCCTGCTGCTGCGAGGGGCCCCGGCGCCAAGTGGCTGCCGTCTTTTGTCTGTTCGGGGTGGGGGCCCTGTCCCCGGCCGCCAGAGCCTCGGCGGGGAGGGTGGAGGCTTGTTGGACCTGCAGGGGGCCCCTGCCCCCTCCCCTCCCTGCCGCCTCCTCCTCCCCTTCGGGACCTGCAGGGGGGCCCCCTGCCCCCCACCTGCAGGGGGCCCCCCTGCCCCCCTGCCTTCCCCTGTGGACCTGCAGGGGCCCCCCCTCCCCCCTCCCCCTTCCCCTCTCCATCCCCCTCCTGCAGTCTACCCGCGTGGTAAGGATCAGCAGCTTTCGAAGGCTGCCCGTGCATCTGTCCCCTTCGGCCCATCCTTGGCCGCTTTCGCTGGCCGCGCCCCGCTCGCAAAGTGTGGGCATGGCCTTCCGAGGCCCTTGCGTCCTCATCGCGCGACCTTATCAGACGGGTTGACGGTATCGCGTATCATACAGGCCACGACCTCCTCGACCTGGTCTTCGCCTGGCCTGGACGTTTGTCCGCACTGGTGGTCTCACGTCCTCTCGCTCCTTTCCCTCCGCCTGTCCCTCTCGCCCCCCCCTACCGCCGTTCGTGGCCTGCCTCCTTCTGCCCCCCAACCTCAGACCGTGGCCTTCTCCCCCATGGCCCCCGTCCCCGCCATCTAGCTCGGACCTTTTTATTTTCGCCGTTGGTTGGTTCGCTCGTGGCCTGCCCCCCGCCCTCAGGCTCAGGCAGTGGCCCTCTGCCGCCCCGCAGGCCGTGGACATTGGACTTCTCCCCTGGTCCAGGGCCACGCCTGCGTGCCCCCCCGTCCCCAGCCTCCAGCTCGGACCTTTTTTTTTTTTTTTTTTTTTTTTTATTTTCGTGATTCGTTCGTTCCTGGCCTGCCCCCACCCCCCATTCCTCCTCCTCCTCCTCCTCCTCCTCCTCCTCCTCCTCCTCCTCCTCCCCACTTCGACAGTGGTCCTCTGCTGCTCTTCCCCAGGCCGTGGCCTTCTCCCCCAATGGTCCTGGGCCTCGCCTGCCCCTCGCCCCTCGCCCCCACCCCCCCTGGGCCAGGCTTCTTCGTCTCCATCGTTCGCTCACTCGTTCGTTCGTTCGTTCGTGGCCTGCCCCCCGCCCATCAGGCAGCGGCCCTCTGCTCTTCCTCCCTCGGGCCGTGGCCTTCTCCCCCCCCTGGTCCAGGACTGCGTCTGAGTGCCCCCCTTGCCCCACCGTCCACCCCGCTTGCTGAGGCCACCCCGATGCGCCCTTTCTCTCGCACAGCTGTGTTCTAGAGCTCGGACTCTTTATTTACTTTCGTCGTTCGTTGGTTCGTGGCCTGCCCCCCCCCCCCCACCCTCCTCGCCCCTCAGGCAATGACCCTCTGCCTCCCCTCAGGCCGTGGCCACATCCCCCTGGTCCGGGGGCACACCTAACTGCCACCGTCCCCAGCACCCTCCATATGGCCTGGGCCACCCCCCAGTGTCACCTCCTCCTTCACAGCTGTGTTCTAGAGCTCGGATCTGCTTCATCATCTTGCACAGCTGTGTTCTAGAGCTCGGACTTCTTTATTCTCTTGCACAGCTGTCTTCTAGAGCTCTGACCTCTGTGTTTTCGTTGGTGATTCATTGGTTCGTGGTTCGTCCCTAGCCTCCCTGGCTTCCTCCCCTCTGGGCCGCGGAACCCTTTAGCCTCCCTGGCTTCCTCCCCTCTGGGCCGCGGAACCCTTTATTTCCGTTCGTGGTTCGTTCGTTCGTGGTTCGTTCCTGGCCTCTCTGACCCCCTCCCCCGTGGTCCGCGCGGAAGCCTTGACTTTGGTCCGTGGTTCGTCCGCTCGTGGTCCGTCCGCGACCTCCCTGGCCCCTCCCCCTGTGGTCCGTGGAGCCCTCTGCTCTGGTTCGTGGCTTGCTCGCTCGTGGTTCGTCCTTGGCCTCCCTGGCCCCCCTCCCCCTGGCCCCTCTCTGGCCTCACTGGCGGCCCCCCCCCCCCTCCCCTGGGGCCGTCGCTCTCTCCTGGGCGGAGCCCTCGATTTCTGCCCCCCCCCCCTGGTCCTCCGATCCCTCGCCGCTCCTCCGTGCAAGAGCCCGGGCACGCGTGCCGCTTGTTTGTTCCAGGGAGCCCAGTACGAACGGTTGTTTGAAGGCAGATCTGCCTTCAAGAAACCGTTCTTGCATTGAAGGCAGATCTGCCTTCAAAACACCGTTCTTACAGAGTAGACCAGTCTTTCCTCCCAGGGGCTGAGGAGACGTGGTTCGGGCGTGCGGGAAGGACCCTGTCGGGCCCGGGGCGTCGCGCGCGTTCCCGGAAGCTCAGAGCATCCTATTCAGCTTCCTGCGGCAAGTCCCGCCCCCGTGCCAGCCCAGCATTCTGGGTGGCGACTGGAAGGACGTCACGTGTAACACCTCGCTCCCCCAGGCTTGGCCGCGATGCTGATGCTGCTGATGATGATGCTGATGATGCTGCTGATGATGATGATGATGAGGATGAGGATGATGCTGATGCTGATGATGATGATGATGATGATGATGATGATGATGATGATGATGATGATGCTGATGCTGATGCTGATGCTGAGGATGATGATGACGATGATGATGATGATGATGAGGATGAGGATGAGGATGATGATGATGATGATGATGATAATGATGATGATGATGATGATGATGATAATGATGAGGATGCTACTGAGGATGATGATGACAATGTATGATGATGACGGTGGTGGTGATGATGGTGAGGAGGAGGAGGATGCGGATGAGGATGATGTTGATGGTGATACTGATGATGCTAATTGTGGTGGTGGTGGTAGTGTGAAGATGGTGGTGATGCTGCTGCTGATGCTGATGCTGACGATGATGTTGATGAGCATGATGATCATGCTGTTGATAAAGATGATGCTGACGATGATGATGCTGCTGATGCTGATGATGATGGTGATGGATGGTGATGATGCTGCTTCAGATGCTGATGATTATGATTGTGATGCGGATGTTGCTGCTGATGATGCTGATGGCGATGATGATGCTGATGATGATGATGATGATGATGATGATGATGATGATGATGATGATGATGATGATGATGATGATGATGATGATGACGATGCTGATGCTGATGATGCTGATGCTGATGATGAATGTGATGCTGATGATAATGATGCCGACAATGATGATCATGATGATGCTGATGAGGAGATCTGATGGTTGATAATGATGATGGTGGTGGTGGTGATGGTGATGCTGATGATGAGGATGAGGATGATGATGCTGATGATGAAGATTATGATGCTGACGACGTCGACAACGACGACGACAAGGAGGATGATGATGATGATGATGATGAAGACGTGACGATGATGCTGATGATGATGATACTTCTGCTGCCGATGATGCTGATGATGATGCTAATGCTGATGCTGATGCTGATGCTGATGATGATGATCATCATGATGCTGATTATGACGATGTTTGCGATGATGGTGATTCTGGTGATGATGATGCTGCTGATGATGATGATGCTGGCAACGATACCGATAACGATGGTGACGCTGATGGTGATGTTGATGATGGTGCGGTGCCGGTGATGGTGATGGCCATGATGATGATGGTGGTGGTGGTGGTGATGGGTGATGATGGTGATGTGCTGCTGATCATGATGATGGTGATGATGATGAAGATGACGAAGATGATTTACGCTGATGATGCTGATAATGCTGATGCTGATGACAATCATGATGATGTGATTGTGATCGTGATGTGGCTGATCATGATGATGGTGATGTTGATGATGGTGCTGGTGATGGTGGTGGTGGTGGTGGCGATAGCGATGATGAATTATGATGAAGATGCAGATAGTGGTCATGATGACGATGATGCTGCTGTTGTTGTTGATGATGATGATGATGGTGGTGGTGGTGGGTGGGTGTTGGTGATGGTGGTGATGATGATGATGGTGATGGTGATGCTGGTGATGGTGATGATGATGCTGATGATGATGCTGATGATGATGATGTTAATGCTGCTGCTGATGATGATGATGCTGCTCCTGATGATGATGATGATCACGAAGATCATGGTGGTGGTGGAGGAGGAGGACGTCCTTTCCGTGTGGCACCTTCTGAGGCGCTCTGACTCGGGCGTGCGGAAAAGGACCCTTTCGGGCCCAGGGCGCCGCGCGCGCGTTCTCAAAACAGCAGGACAGCATTTTCGAGAAACTCAGCATTTCTGTGCTCGAAGATGTGGTGGCTGGGAACTCTCGGACGCACGTCGACGACGACGACGACGACGACGGCGGCGGCGGCAACGACGACGACGACGACGACGACGACGACGACGACGACGACGACGACGACAGCGACGATGCCGCGCTGGCACCAGCTGCAGCCTCTCTCGCCTCGGTCATTGTTCGCCTCCTCTTCGCTCCTGGCCGCCTACGGCGCCGCCAACGGCGCCGTCGCCGACGCCGAAGCTGCCGATACCGACGACGGGGGGCGCTGGTCTGGGCGGTGACGCCTGCCCTCAGATCCGGGCGGCGGGTCCAATTCGCGACGGCTGTTTTTTCGTGGGGTTCCGCCTCCAGGAGCTGCTTCCCAGGCCCAGGACCGCCGAAGCGCGACTCGGGATGCAGAGCCAGCCGGCCCCCGGGAAGGGGTCGAGATTCCAGGGGGCCAGCGCCACGAACAAAATTGCAGTGTCGGAGGAGAGGGAAAAGGGGGCCATGAAATCTGGGAGGTCTCATGGCACAGGTCACGCTGTCTACACGCGCCACACAACACAATCAACGTCGCGTCAGCTCGCGCCGCCGTGCGAGCGCACATGCAGCCATAGCCCCTCTTGATTCGATCCATGTTCGGCCTCGCCCTGCTCCGCGAGCATCAGGCACAGCACCAAAATGTACACCAGGCGCAGCATGGAGCTGCCCTGTGCTTGGCCCGCCCTCGTGGTCGTGCTGGTGGTGTGCGCCATCGACGGGGCCGACCTGGCCATGCTGGGCGCGGCCTTCAAGATCTTCGAGGAGGAGCTGGGCATGAGCCCGAGCACCCTCGGCAAGGTGGCCATGGTCCAGAGCCTCGCGATGTCCGCCACGATGCCCATCTGGGGCTGGATGTGTGACACCGGCTTCGCCTCGCGGCGGGCGCTCTGGACGGCGGGCATCCTGGGCTGGGCCCTCGCCATGGCCGCCCTGGCCACGGCGTCCTCGCTGCGGACGATCCTCCTGGTAAGGATGGCCAACGGCGTGTTTCTGGGGAGCCTGATGCCGCTGACGCAGAGCTGGGTGGCCGAGACCGTGCCGCCGGCCGCGAGCGGGCGGGCGTTTGGACTCTTGGGTGCCGCTGGCACGGTCGGCGGGATCGCGACGACAATGTTCATCACCAGCGCTGGTGGCAGCACCGTGGCGCTCGCGGGCGGCGCCATCAGCGGCTGGAGGCTCATATGCTTCGCGATCTCCGCGCTCAGCCTGTGCTGCGCGGCTGCCGTGTGGCTCGTCATGCCCGGCGGGGACGCGGGAGGTCAACGTGCAGGCGAGAAGCCTTCGCCGTACCACGCGTATAGGGAGATCGCATTTAATCTGCGCAGGCACTGGAAAAGCTTCAACTTCCGCATTATCATGTACCAGGGTGTCACTGGTGGCATCCCGTGGTCTGCCCTAGCGTTCAAGATCATGTTCTTGCGATACGTGGGCTTCTCCAGTGGAGAGATCAACGTCTTCACCGCCGCCGTGGTCGCCCCCAAGGTGCTGGGTGGCATGGTGGGCGGATTCCTGGGGGACTACGCCTCGCAGGCCTCTCCACGGCATGGCCGTGCGATAGTGGGGCAGTTTGCCGTTGGCTGCGGGATCCCGCTGATGCTTGCGCAGATCGTCATTTTCCCGAAGCTGATCGGGGCCGTGCTGTGGCCTTACGTCCTGTGCGACTTCCTGTTCTTCCTGGTGGCCACCTGGACTCCTGCCGGTGTGATCCGGCCCTTGTTCATGGAGGCGGTGGACCCAAAGGCCCGGGCCTCCATCGTGGCCTGGAAAGAGGCGCTGGAGATCCTCTTCGCCAACCTGCTGGGCGCCCCCTTCGTGGGCTTCCTCGCCGAGCACTGCTTCCAGTACCAGCCGACGGCGCTGAGCGTGGAGGCGATGCCGCCCGAGCTGCGGCGGCACAACTTCGCGGCGCTGCAGTGGTCCCTGGCGGTGATGACGACCGTGCCGTGGATCCTCTGCTTCGCCGCGATCTCGGGCCTGCACTGGTCCCACCTCCACGACGGCGCGGGCGCCGCGGCGGGCCAGGCGGCGCTCCGGGAGAAGCGCCCCGGGGCCCCGGGCGGCTACGGCAGCGCGGCCGCCTAGGCGCGCCCTCCGCGCAGGGGCGGGAGCCCCTGCGCGGGCGGCCGCGCGCCGCTCGCGGCGGCGGCGGCGGGTCGGCTGCGCTGCCGAGCGGCCCGTCGCCGGAGTGGCCTCGGGTGGGCCCACAGGTCGGAGGCTGGAACGTCTGCACACCCAGAGAGCGGGCGTCTCGAAGAAGTCGAGGCGGAGGTTTTCCATCGTTTTGGGCCTCTCGGGGCCCTCGCCGGGCCTCGGGAGCGTCAAAAAACGACTCGGGATGAGAAACCGGTCCCGGGGAAGTGGTCGGGAGGCCGGGGGCCCGCGCCTCGAAAAAATCGAGACGTCGGATGTTAGGGCATCACCAGTGGCGGGCTGTTCTGCAGTCCCAGGGCTGTTCGAGGGCTCGGGGACGACGTCGGGGTGGTGTGGTGTGTGTATGCTTCTTGGCCCCGTTGCCCCTCGGGGAGGAGACGAGAAATGGATACACCAGGATGCCATATAAACACAGCAGGATCCGCCTTCCTGTGCG